GCACACCTTTAATCCCGGCACTCAGCAGGCAGAGGCAGGTTTCTCTGTGTAGCTCTGACTGTCCTGGAACTAGCTCTTGTAGACCAAGCTGGTCTCAACTCACAGAGATCTTCCTGCCTCTGCCTCCCAGGTGCAGGGATCAAAACTGTACACCACCACCATCACCCAGCTTAAAAATTTCTTTGAAACCATCCTCAGTGATGTGGAACAAACTCACTGTGGTTTTATCATTTGAGACAGGGTCTCATGTACTAAGAGGCCTCACACTCACTAAGTAGGCAAGGAGTTTGAGCTGACACACCTGCCTCCATCTCCCAGGTTCAGGGATCACAGGTGTGTATCACCAAGTCTTTATTTCGATTTTATTATAATTTTTAATTTATTTGAAGCTTGCCCAGAAATCACTGTATAGTGCAGCTGGACTTGGAAGTCTCAGTAATCCTCTTGTCTGAGCCCCAGAATGTCCTGACTATGGAAGTAAGCTGACTTCCCTGCGGTTTTAAATTTCGGTTGCCCTTTTTTTTTTTTTCTTTCTCGAGACAGGGTTTCTCTGTGGCTTTGGAGGCTGTCCTGGAACTAGCTCTTGTAGACCAGGCTGGTCTCGAACTCACAGAGATCCGCCTGCCTCTGCCTCCCGAGTGCTGGGATTAAAGACTTGTGCCACCATTGCTCGGCCCTTGTATATTTTTAATATTTATCAATGACTTCAAAGTATTTTCTACTACTGCATAGAAGGCATTTTAATTTTATTGATTGGTTTCTTTTTGTTTAGTTTAGTTTTGAAGATAGAGTTTCTGTATGTAATTTTGGAGCCTGCCCTGAAACTTTCTCTGTAGACCTGGCTGGTGTCAAAGGCTTGCACCACCCCCTCCCAGCTTATTTTGTTTTCTAATGTGTGGTGTTTCGCCTTCATGTCTGTCTGTGCACCATGTGAGTGTAGTGTTTGCAGTGGCCACAAATGGAGCATGGCCTCCCCTGAAACTGGAGTCACAAAAGGTTATGTGGGTGCTGGTTCTCGAATGGGTGCCCTTTAGAATAGAGCAGCCAGTGCTGTGAACCACTGAGTAATCTCCAGGCCTTCATTAATGTTGTAGATGTGAATACTCTTTGACCTCAGTCAGCACCCTTAAAAATGTGGTGCATATATTCACAGATGATTTTTTTAAAAGACTAACGACTTTATGTAGCACATGAAACACTGTTACACTCCACAGAGGCTTTTTTTGTTTTTGTTTTTGTTTTGTTTTTCGAGACAGGGTTTCTCTGTGGCTTTGGAGGCTGTCCTGGAACTAGCTCTTGTAGACCAGGCTGGTCTCCAACTCACAGAGATCCGCCTGCCTCTGCCTCCCGAGTGCTGGGATTAAAGGCATGTGCCACCACTGCCCCGCTGAGCCTTTTTTTGAGACAGGATCTAACTTTAACTTAGGCTGACCTGAATCTTGCTATGGACCACCATAACCTGCTTGCCAGGGTTCCTGTATTACTCTCTCCTGCAGTTGTATGCATGCACAGACATCCGTGTGCTCTTGGGTTATAATTACCCCATGCACTGACTCTGACTGAATAAACTGCATGATTATATCCTGCATTGGACACAGAACAGTGCAAGTTACATTAAAAACCCATTATATTTGCAACTCCGAGTAAGAGACTATAATTAAAAGGCAATTGGATGAAATTAGCTTTAAGAGTACAAGAGTTTAAGCAAGCTTTGGTAAATGAACGTTAATGGTTAGCATGTGGGTTTTATTAGGGTTTTTTGCTCCTTTTCTCTGTGACCCCAGAGTTGAATTTCTTAGATGTCTTTGGACCAAATATGAGGAACACCTGTACTGAGCCGTGCTTTACCATATGGCTAAAGTCATACCCATAAAATAAACTAACATAACTTTTGTGACTTTAGTAAATCAAAGGTATTAGGAAGGCTTCAATGATGCCCTGGGCATTAATAAACTATTCTTAGCACTCTTAAGATCATGGTTGTGTGCCATAAAAAAGCATACTACATACTCCCTACAACTCAAAATGATGGTCATAAAATACACATACAAATCAAAGAAGTAATAAAGCTGGAAGAATTTTGATAATCATCACCATTAAATGTCAAAATGCTGCACACTGTAATTACACCCTATTTTCTAAGAAAATTGGTACATGCACAAACAGCTGAGGACTAAGCATGGTGAAATTTTTGTGTATGGAAATGCTTTGGAGTTTTGCCAAGTCTATGTGGTTTTTTGAACTTTCCACCCATGCTATAGTAAAGATGGCCATGCCTCCTATTAAAACCTAAGATCTTAGGCTGAAATCCATGCCTGTAATCTCTTAGGTGCTGACAATACATGCAATGTGGCAGCCTCAAAATATAGATAAATGTGCACAGACTTTTGAGGAGACAAGGTCTTATATAGCTAGGGCTGACCTTGAACTTGTATAGACAGCATTGGCCTTCAACTTCTGATCTTTCCCGCCTCCAAAGTACCACAATGAGAGTCATGTACCACTGTGACGAATTGGTGCTTCGCATCAAGGGCAGGGCTGTACACATGTTAGGAAAGATTCTACCTATGTGCTATGTTTCTGGTCATCATCTGCATTATTTATGGGTTTTTTCTTATGGGGACTCCTCTATGGGATTAAAAGTATTAGAGTATTTAACTAGAAAACTTTTAAAGCTCCAACATGTAAGTGAAGAACAAACACACAAGAGAGAACTTTTTAGAGGCTGGCAAGGGGCCTTTATAACCCATCTTAAAGGACTAGGACTTTATCTTCTAGTCAACAAAGTAAGCATAAGAGGGATTAGGCAAGGAAGCGACATGATCAAATTCACTTTTGAGAAAAGTCATCTGGGAGGCAGACTGAAGATGGATTAGCAGGAAGGAAAACAAGCAGCTGTTGCAATAACCCAGAGGAGAGATGACAAGTCTTATTGGGCCTTATATTTCCAGCGCAGATCCAGAACGAACACAGTCAATGATTAATGGGTGTTTAAATAAATGCTTGGCTGGACATAACTGAAAAGATTTTCAAGCAGCAGTAAAAATAGAAAAATGACAGATGCCCTAAACTCAAAGTCAGTGACACACAGCAATCAGAGGACAAACTATGCAACTTAAAATGGCCATAAGGCTGGAGTACACACTTCTTCAGAGAAGATACATGAATAGCCAGTAGACACAAGAAAAGATGTTCACTGGTGTCATTCAAGAAATGCACATCAAAACCACAGTTGGAACCATTTTGCATCCACTAACAAATGTTTGTCCAAATGTGGAAGAAATTAGACCCTCAGCCACTGCTGATGACAGGCAGTACAGTGGCTTTCTATGTCATAAAAGAGATGTGTGGCATCCTGTTGGCTCTTTATTTGACAGAGATATTTTCTTGACAAATGGTAGCAGCCTAAAATGGACAGTCATATTTAGATGGGAGTGGGGTATGCAAAGGGTACTCATTTTTTTTTCTTTTAAACAATTTTTGAGACAGTTTTTCTGTAGCTTTGGAGCCTGTCCTGGAACTCACTGTATAGACCAGGATGACTTGGAACTCACAGGGGTCCACCTGCCTCTGCCTCCCAAGTGCTGGAATTAAAGGCGTGCATCACCATCACTGGCAGGTACTGATCATTTTAAGAATGTTAACACTCATTTAGAGACTTGATAATCATCTTGCTGTCCTACACATCACAGTGAGCTTCAAGTTGGTCTTCCTTTCTTCCTGGTGTATAGTTGTCTTCTGAATTAGGAAAATACATTGTCTCTTTGAGGACCTATAGATTATATAATTGTTCAGGCCACTAGGTGCATCCTTTACAAGTGTGACCCACAGCAAGATATGCAGAGTATTACTCACAGGCATATTTAAATAGTAAGATAGCCAAAGCAAGCTTCAAGAAGTTTTAGTTGACACATGGAATTGATATTTCTCATGTAACGGCATTGTTTTGAAACATATATTCCAATATACAATCAAATAGCAAAATAGAGATAATTAAATTTATACCCTGTATCTTACCTTACAGTTGCTTTTTCTTTGTGGCTAGAACTTGCAAAATTTATTTTCAGCAATTTTTAGGATACACAACATGCACCTGTTTTTTTATTAACCACCGTCACCATCACCATCTCATGTATTAAATCTTTCAAGCTGATTCCCCTTAACATCTCTCTAGTAAAGTCTCTTCCTCTCATCCCTTGTGGCCACCATTCTACTCTCAGCTAACATTTGAATCTTTTTAGGTGCTATGTGTTCATTCCATCTGTCTCCCTACAACTGGCTTATTTTACATAGCATGATGTCCTAGAGGATCATCCACTGGACCACAGATGGTGATTCCCTCCTTTTTAAATGCAGTGGTATTCCTTTGCGTGTGGAGATGTCACATTTCCTTTATCCATTCATCCCTGGATGGATAATTGTGTGGATCTGAGATGAATAAGGTAATACCACCTTGTTCTGACTCTGTTTTGTGTTTGCTTACCCAGTTCTTAGCTCTTTACTCCCCTCTCCCAAGAGTCATGTCTATCTGCCTTGGCAGACCTAGACCTAGACCATAAGTATTGACCAAAATAATTGAAGCCAACTAAAATAACTAGAAAGGATATGTCAAAAATAGTTGGCATGTTATGTCTAAAACAGTTACTATGTTCTGGCAGGAATGAAACATTCAAGGTTACCCTGATTCATCTCACATTGATGTAAATTACAGTATGGTCTCCACAGATTTTGCTTTTAAAATCTCTGTACCCCTGAACATGGGTACCATGAGACTTTGCAGAGGCACAAGCCCACTCTTGGTCTGGCCCTAGACAGAAAGCACCTTTTACTCATGTTTGTACTTTGCCATATTTTTCCTTCTTTCTTTCTTTCTTTCTTTCTTTCTTTCTTTCTTTCTTTCTTTC